GTCCCGATTTGTGATTGTCATCCTTGCGCAAGGTCCATGCTAATCTTCTCTGTATCGTTCCAATTTTATCGGATGTCCCCGAAGGGACAACTTATGTGTGTTTGTATATTATATTAAATATAATAGAGTTTATTAATATAATATTATAAACGATTCGGTCCAGGTACCCGTTTTAATTTTAGGAACCGTTCGGTTCCTAAGTTTTTAAGGACCCGCACCACCCCGAACTGTTTGGGTTTTCGAAAATTAGAACCCAACCCGCGGTTTCTGAACCTATACTATCTAGCCCAACTCGCGGTTTCTGTATCCATTTGTCCAGCCCTATTATTAACATTCATCCGGCCTTGTTTGGGTTGGAGAGAGAAGGGGAGGTATTTATTTAAAAAAAAAAATCTACGTGTAAGTGATTGTGAATAAAGTGAAGCTAAAAGTCATTTTTTCTCTCCTCTTCTCTCCAAAATCCCCCACCCAAACAAGGCCCTAGCTCCCTACCACTGATCAGACCAAAATGTTCTCTTGCAAAAAGATATGACAGTAGCATATACTCCGTATATACAGAGTATATTAACAAAATTAACAATGTGACATGCTAAAGCCTGCAAGAGTGCAAGATGTGCAAAATATTTACAAGTGGAGCAAACGGTACATGACAGCTTACACAAGCCATGACAGGACTGTGGAGGAACCATAGTTTGAATTTTTTTAGGTAAAGACATACAACAGGTTTGACTTTAAACACAAACTTTCCATTTTAAATCGATAAAAACAAACTTTTCTTTGTCAATATCTATTGAATTTGAATAGAGGTGGATACGATTCCATATTGTCTGATTTCCCCCGGATAGGAACCAACAGATATGCCAACTTCTTCAATTTCTCCTTATTGGCAAGTTGGTAAAACTAATTGTTGTTATAAACCTCAACTCAAATCTGTATTTCAAGCATTTCAATTCCCTTCTTTACTATTTGTTGTTCCACACAGGAGAAAAGTAGAGGTGGACAAATCGATTTACGATTCGGTTTATATGGATTTCAGTTCAGTTTTGATTTATTCAATGTGAAGAAAATAGTATCAAATTCAAACGGAATGTATTTAGTTAGGTTTCAATTCGGAAATGGTTCAGTTCGGTTTATGAATTTGAAAATGATTAGATCCGGCTTCATATTTAATAGTTTTTTAATCCACTTTGATATATTTTAAAAAAATTGGTTCGGGTTATATCCAAAATAGAGCAATATAAAATAAACCAAAACAAAGATCGGATATAATAGATGACAGCTCTTGCAAGTTGCAACGTGCAACTCTTGTGAAGCTGTCCATGAAGCCTATAGAAAAAATGGATGGGCAGTGTCAAATCATGATCTAAGGACCAGGTCAGTTTTAGAATTTAGTTCATTTAGATAATACTCACTCCATGTATTGCATTCGATGTGTCGAATCTAGATCATCGAGCAGTGGTTAAGCTGCCATTCAGAGAGAAATCACACATCCAGATCCATCCTATTATTTGATGTGCAAATGCTTCACTGTGAACTGAACCAGCAAAAGCCTTAAATAAAGACGATTGTAAGAATTCAATCTACCAAATCTGGCAGCCTTGGATATTAGTCTAAAAGAGCAGCTAATATAACCAGCCATACATACAACAATAGTAAACCGTAAAAAGTGTAAAGCAAATGATCCGGTAGGCAGGAAACAATATCCGCCAGGATCTGGAACGGTCAAAAGTGTTGTTATATGTCAAAGATAGGACGGGAATGTTTTGGCACATCTCCTACCTACAGAGTAGAGATGTAGTTAATACCTCCAAGTGAGCATGCATTTTAGTAAATAGCACAGGCTATTGTCATTTCGAGACCATTCCTTATAAAAAATGATTTGGTTCAACTCAGTAGCAACGGGTGCATCATTATGTGTCACCATTTACCTTCCCAGTAGTACAGAAAAGACAGGCATTTCAGAGTATGGAGAGCTAAAAGACTTCAAAGAACAAGCTGATTTGATTTGTAAAATGAGCTTTTTTCATAAAATTGGTGCAATACCTACAGAGCTACAGAACATTAGGGGCCTATTTACTAACAGAGACAGTTTTCTGTTTTCATTTCCTGTTTTCAGGTCTCTAGTTTTCTGTTTTCGTTTTCCGGTTTTTTGTTTTCCGAATCAGAAAACATGTTTACCAGAGTTTTTCAATTTTCCATTTCATTTTTACCAGAAAACGCTGACATAATATTTGGAAAAGAAATGAACAATTACAAACATTTGAAATAACACAAAAAAATTAACACTGAAAGTTCAATAAGTGAGATTATGTTAATCAGAATAGCAGTTGTACTTTGACATCTCATACATTGTAATCATCCCATATTGCATTCGCAATACTTTCTCGAATTTCATGCATTTGTTGTTGTTGAGACATATCAATCTCGAGTAATCAATTTTCACTTGTACTTCCTGCCGTGTCAAATATCATATCCTCTTCCTCGTACTCTATGAACAAACGGTCGTTCCTACTTCCTATCTTGCATGCGAATGAAATTATGCAATGCACAACAAGCTATGGGAATTTGAACCTGCCTTCTAAATGGGTAACCATTCTCATTGCATCATAACTTATCATCTGTCAAATGAGCGTTCACAATATAGATCTCAAATTCTTCATCATTAACAATATCCAAGGGCCCCAGTCAATTGATTTGAAGCTCCTCCTATTCACAATGGCTTCAATTATAGTTGGAAAACATTCGTTTTTGTCATTGCTAAAGTAGCCTTTATCATCCCTTTAAGATTTGAAACAACGAATACAAAAGAAAAAGTGAGTTGGATGAAAAAAATGGTTGGAAATTCTCTTCCTAGCAAAATCAGGAATGTTAGATAAATAGTCTAGCACTCTAGCCATAACTTTTCAATTCTCTTCCTAAGCAATAATTAATAAGAAAAAAGCTGAAAAAACAGACCTCTTAATGTCAAAGATATATAATTTTCAAAACTGAAATATACTGCAAAAATAACTAGACATCTTCCTTTGACCATATATAAACTGCCTGCTCTATCAGTGCATCAGAAACATATGGTTGGGAATAAACTATTTAATGGAAGTATGGAACTCAAGTTACCACTGCCAGACTCACAAACATACTTTCAAATGCCTGCATCATAGTATCAGTGCATCACAAACATGACAATTACTCAACGCAAGCACATATAATGGCAATGGTTGGAAGAGCCGTGAGTCTCTCGATATAAAAAACTTGAAGCAGTGTGTGAACTATATAGAGCAGTAAATCCATGGTTGATGACTTGAGAAGCAGTCTGCCCAAAACTTGTTACATTCTGATGGTCAGTGCTGGAGATAGTTTTATGACAGCAAGGAAAGTAAAAATTATCATCTACTGATTAATTCCAACCTGGATACTTGGGTGCATAAGTGGATATAAATTGATTTTTAAAAACTGCATATGGTAGACTGCTAACAAAACTAATCTACTAACTGCTAACAAATCCAATCTACTACGGACCATATTTTTTTGCTTCCAAAACAAGTGTTCTGCTACCCCCCATTCCGAAAAGCATCCCATATGAAGACATATTAACTTTTGCTTCCAAATTATTACAACTGATGTACCAAAGTATCGGGTAGTCTGCGAACCTCCATTGTGACAAGCATCCCATATGAAGACATATTAACTTTTGTTAAGCAAGGAAAATGATCAAAACATGTTTATTACTAAACTGACCAGTTGAGAGCCCATTCATATGGAGGATTTTTTTACGAAACGTTCTAAGGCTGGTGTATATCTTGACATATATTTCAGACTAAAGATTATTATTTACTACACACACACACACAAAAAATCGAACTCTCACTTAAAACCTTCCCTATTAAAATCTCTAATTGTATACTTTGAACAAGAATACTCTAAACACTTTTGAAAAATGTCAAACTGATCCACTTAGCCCTGACCTGAATTAATTACCTTCACAACAACATTTGGATGCAACTAGCTGGTACTTTCAGCATTTGTTGTGCTTACTAATATTCAAAGTTTACTCAAATCAAATTGAATAAGGAGCATTCCAGAACACAGGGCATACCTATTATAAAACGCTGGGATAATTTTAGAATATTAACAGATGATAAACGAATTTAGTATTATCATTCATTCAAAATAGCTGAACATCTATTTACTGAAGCAATTGTTTTAACAAATTACCCTTAGGTTTTAATTATTATTTTCAAAATTTCTTTAAAGCACTAATGCAGGGCTCACTGCAGCCATTTTAACGCTACTGAAATTTCTGAAACAAGGGCTTTACACATGAGCTTTATCGTTGCTGGAAGCTTTTGAAACAAGAGCTTTATGCAATTTCTCTAACACAAATGAATTTCTGAAATTGAGAGGTTACCTTGAAATTCTTGACAGAGCAAGAGCCGAATGAAGAGTTGAGAGATTCCGTGATGTCTAGGTGGAGCTCCTAGCAGCGATGGCAGCAATCCAATTTTGAGTAGTCTGGGAGCAGTAATGGCAGCGAACTGTTGTTTGAGTATGTTGAACGGCAGTGATATTTAAGGTCTCCTTGGTGCTGTGAAGGAGATGGGGAAGAAGTAAAGATGGTAGGCCAACTACCACTTTAGTAGCGATGGAGTTGGCGAAGTAAAGGCGATAGAGGAGGAGGGTGTGTGGCACTGTAGCACCGTGTTTTCTGATTTGGGAAAACGCGTATAAGTGGGTTCTCCGTTTCAGAACAAAAATTCGAGATATGTTTCAATTTTTTTGTTTCGGAAAACAATGAGGTAAACAGGTTATCTAAATTTTCTATCTCCAGTTTTCCAGATTTCTGGAAAAAACAGAAAATATTTCTGTTAGTAAACAGGCCCTTAATTTCTAAGTTGGTTTTTCTTATTTCTACAACTACTACATGGTAAATGCATGCCTGTGCTGGACTAGTGAAAGTCACTAAAAGGTGAAAGGCTCCTGAAGCAAATTGATCTGTTGCAAACTTTCAGCAAACAAAATATATTTATTCCATAACTTTATGCTTCATAAGATAAAAGAAAGCAGGCTCGTAATGATACACAAATCACACAAGTCATGTTTAATGTGAAGACCAACATAGAACAGAGCAACTAATTTGTATGAGGATAAAGGGATATATACGAAATGACTTCTTAAAATACAATATTCTTGATACGCACCAATCTTGGCTGAATGACAAGAAAAAATTGTGAAACCTTAATACTCTGGTTTTGAAATTTCCGTGACTTCTTCAATTCTATCTTTTTCAGGCAAAACTGACCAATTTGGAGAGTGTGCTGCCCTCAACCACCGAAAATCATCAACATTAGCCCAATTCCCAGACTCTTCACCAAGATTTGCCTTTTCAAGATCCCTCTCAATCCCATCATACATAAAGCAGTATGGTGCAACTCTAACCCCAGTACAATCCTCAATTATAGGCCTACTCCTCACCCGGAGATAGAAATCACAGTCGGTTGCATGATGAATTCTAATCTGATGAGAAGCCAACACAAAGATGCAATTCTTTACTTCCTCAATCAAAACTGATGCAGTCACTGGCCCAACATAAACCCTACAATTAGCCAGCTTATGCACAAATAATGCCCTTACACACCCCAGCAATCGAACTTCACAGCCTCTTAGATCTGAGAGCATGAACTCCCCAATTTTCTCCGCCTCAGTTCTTCTAAAATCCATTGTCAACACCTCATTTTCCTTGTCCTGAAAGCCAGGCGAGTCTAAAGCCATAAACCCTAATGTTGGACCTATCACGTTTTCAATGGTGTTGTTTTCAGATGGGGCTTCTGGAATCAAGCCATTTGATGCTGCTGCACATCTATTAGTGGTTTTGTTTCGAAATGAGAACTTCTTCTTAGGTAGGACTGAAGAGCTAACCTGTTCTAGGGTTTGCTTTAGGTCGGATATGGTTTTGAGGCATGAGCGGACATCGTAGGAGGGCAGAAAGTAGGAGCTCTCCGCAACTTCCTTTTCCAGATTAGCAATTGAGATTGAGACCTTTTCCAGTTCTGGTTTGACATTTTGGGGGTCTTGGGTTTTGCAGATCCGAGATAGTTCAGACTCGATAGATTGCTTCGATTCAGAGAAATGAGAGAGGAAAGATTGTGTGGAACCTGAAGATGAGTAAGAGTCTGAATTAGGCTTGCGCGCCAGCCGTGACTGATGGAGATTGGAGAGGTGTTCTAGCATTGCCACATGTTTGCGTTGGATGGCCACATCTGAATGATCACCGGCTAAGGTACTACAGGCTGTGCCCAAAGGCTCGTCTTCCTCCATAGATCAATAGAAAAACAAAGGAAACTGAACTCTGTCTAGATTAACATGTTACGTTCCTGATTCCGATTCCGGCATTCCAAATGGGTGAGGTTGAAAAATGAATTACACAATCCTGTGTAAGCAGTTACACGATTAGGAGCACTATAATTGGTCGCATTTCTACCTTATTGACTGAATTGCATTAAAAAAATATACACAATTATGTTTAAGCTCATTTCAATTTTATGAAATTCTATGGTACCGCTCCTTTGACACTTGCACCAATTAGCAAGTTACAATTGAATAATTCAAGAATAATATAATGATGATAAAAAACTAATAACATGAATTAGTGACATGCATTTTAGGCAGACGAATTTATTTGCTCATTTGATCATGAGGGCGGCCCTCTACATTTGAATGTAGAAGCCTAGGGAGAACAATTTAAAATGAGTCTAATTAAAAAAAATGTAAAACACATTTCTATCTAAATTACCATGCAAAATAATAATATTTGAATACCTTTTAAAATAAAGAAAATACTTGAATTCGTTAAATTAACATTTTTATAGAGCCTTTTTCAATTACAATGTCCCCTTTTTGGCATCTAAATTCTTCTAATCAGCGGGGTTGTAAATATCCAAAATCAAAGGGCTAGCAATTGGAGTTAATACATTTGATCTATCCAAATCATTTTTCTATGGCTCACTACCAAGGTTATCAACTCCAAAATCAAAGGACCATCAATTGGAGTTAACACCAACACTCAATAGGTAACAATCATCGATTAAGTGATTAACATCTAACAAATCATTCAATTAATTATCAACTATTCATAATCATTTACAAAAATAATTAAGTCAATTTATCAATTGCTAAATTGAATCACACAAATACACAATCATCATTCATATGTTCGTACTTTATACTGAAATAAACATTCTGGATTTCTGGTCGAGGCTTAAGGTCGGAAGGCTACGGCGTACCTGATAAGTGATAATCAATTTCTGTTGGACAGTGGAGTAGACATGTGGCGCTGTGGAAGCCGATGTCAAACGCTGAAGGCGGAAGGCCGGAACTCTGGAAGGCGAAACGGCGACAAAAGGCTGTGTGGAGTCGCTGAGTGCGTCGTGAGTTTCTGGCGTGGGGAATGTGGATAGAGGAGGGTTAACACTTCACAACCGTTGAGTGGAAAACGGGATGGAAACGCAGAGTCGCAGACGCTGCTTAACAGGATGGTTGCGCGTTACTTGCTCGATTTTTTTCATTTTGGGCCTTGGGGCTTCTTGGGCTTCTTGGCCTTGGGGCTTCTTCAGCTACTCAAACATACGTACCAACTATCGAGTAATCCTATTCATATCCCTCTTTTTACTAAACACAGCCCCTTAATTAAATAATACTCTCTCCTTCACCCTATAATTGTCTCATTTTACCATTTTTGGATGTCCCCTATCATTATCTTGATGCACATCAATCTTAGCTGAATGACAAGAAAAAAGTGTAAATAAGAACCTCAATACTCTGGTTTTAAAATTTCCTTGACTTCTTCAATTCTATCCTTTTCAGGCAACACTCACCAGTGTGCTGCCCTCAACCACCGAAAATCATCAACGTGAGCCCAATTCCCGGTGACTGTGAAAGACGAAGCTAATGTTTGATGAGTGATTAACTTGCCTGGGTTTCATAACCACTATGTGGTGGCAATTTATATTACTCATGGCCTCAAGTTACATTGTCATGAACTCAATTTACATTTTCATTGGTCTCAAGTTACATCTCTGTAAAGGTTTTTTACATTTCAATATACTAAAGTTACATTTCTCAAGTAGCATCTGATCTGTTTCCAAGTTACATTTCAATTTAAGCAATTTACATTTTAATGAGTTACATTTCAATGAATGTAATTTAGATGTTAATTGACCTGAAGTTACAAGTTAATTCACACGAGTTACATCTCATATAACTCTAGGAGCAGGATACTCACTTTGCATTGCTCCCACGGTATAACGCCTCAAAACATTACAAAACATTACATCACCACTCAAATCAATTAAACAAGAAATCAACACAAAGAATTAGAAACTACGGAGTATTAGAGTTAAACCAACAACAATCAACAATCAACAACTAATAGAATAACAGATCAGTAATTTAGTAGAATAGAAGAAGCGCTGAAGTTTGATGGACAGGGAGCGAAGGAGGTGCCTGGCCGGATTCTGTGAAGAATGGGAATTCGGAATAGCAGTTTGAGAAGTGACATGGACGGGCACCGATCGGTCGTCGGGAGGCTGCCAGGATCGCAGTCGTCGTTGTGTCACACTGTCGGTATCTGGGCTGTTTGGCGGTCTGTTAGGTCCCTGTTTTCTATTCTATAATATGTATGGAAGAGGTCTCGTCGTCCAAGGGTCCCTCTTGGGGCTTCCCTACGCAGAGGCGGTTTACGAATAGCGAATGAATCTGGCCTTTTTTTTACATTTTTGGGCCTACGCCCCACCCCTCCTTCCCGGGGGCCAGGGTCGTTCTGGACTCATGCATTAAAATTGTTCAAAATTTTCTAACGGCCATTGAAAAGAATTAAAAGGCTTAAATAGATTTTTAGACCCTGCAAATATGACATATTTTATTTTTAGTCCCCACAAAATATTTTTTTGGCTTTTCATTCCTTTAATATGCACTATTTTGTTTTTAGTCCATCTCTAATTTCGAAACCACTCTACTTATAAAAAAAAAATCAGTTTCATAAATCTACTTGAAATATTTAAATTTGTCCTTTTATAATTTTTTTAGACTAATATGAGAGCTAAAACAATGTATACAAAATGATGGATCGCCGACTCTGGGGGTAGCCGGAATCCGGGAAATTAAGGGAGAAGATCGGAAAAGCTTAAATAAAGTTGGGTATGAATTTCAGCAGAGTAACAACAAGAGAATTCAATTGCAGGTCCATTTCCACGTGTTGGAAGGTGATATTTACACTAAAAAGTTAATACTTGACCAACAAGTAAAAAGATGTTAATCTATTGTGGATAGGACCACGTGTCATTCATGTGTAACAGAAATAACAGACTAATCTAATAGAGTGTTGACACGTGTAAAGGTGATTGGAGAGATAACCGGTACAGTTGGCTGATTAGAATTGCTTGTAACAAACCGGTAACGGAACACACGTGCGGGTTACACGTGTGCTATCTGGATTATTCTTTACTTTTATCCGTTGGGGTGACGTGGTGTTTCTCGAGATAGTGGTGATGTGACAGCAACTTGTATAGTACTCTAATCTAATAATCGCCTAAGTCCATATATCGTTGGAGAGACCCCGAGCTTGTGGAGGTTAGATCTCAGATGCTCGTTCTCGTTACAAGAGGATTCTATCTCTGGTCTTCGGTCCTGTCTCGTAGCGTCGACTTCTTTGTTGACTTCACTTGACCCTAGTTGACCTTGCGTCAGCCTCAGAAGGTCCGAGTTGGTGGCGAGGTCGACCTCATATTTTGCTTTATTTGGGCGATTCCTGAGCTCGATGTTTTTGCCAACCTCGATCGCGGGTCGAGGTCGGTCTCAGCTGGGTCTTCTGTCCTTTGTTGATTCGTCATTTCGCGCTTAGTGCCGACCTCGGATGGTGGAGGCCGGTCTCGGTTGGAACTCTGGTGCTTAAGTATTTTGTGATGCCTTGGTGGCCGTTGACCGGCGATTATGATACCCCTGGGGTATTTGAGAATATACTTTGTCACTAAGTATTCACATTTGAAAAAATATATATTAAAAACCTTCCAAAAATTAAAATTAAATATTTTTTGAATGGCATGACAAAGAATTAGAGGAAACCTATAATTCGGGGTTATTTTGAGTTCAATCAGAGGTCATTATCATCGGTGATGGACTAAAAAGAAAACCATCACAAATTGCAGGGATGAAAAACAAAAAAAAAATTGCAGGGATGTAAAACAAAATATACTATTTGTATGTATTTCTAGCTAAGATGTCATGGTAAGTTTGTTATTGTGTTTTAAATTGGATCAAAATTTTCTAGTCGACTTTGTTCTGGTTTAGTCTGATCTATTAAAGTTTGATATAGTTTTTACGAATTTTTATTATTTTTATGATTTTATTATGAATTAAGACATTTCATTATATATTACTCCGTAATACTTTAGGGGTATTTAGGGTAGAAATCAATGTTTAGTCCTATTTATAGGGGATTAAAAAGTAGTAATCTTATTTGTGCATTTTAGATAAACTTTAGTTAGGGTAATTTCTAAAGTGAAAAACATCATACTCGGTAAAATGGAAATGCAATTGAAGTACCTCCGAATTTGGCTTCACTTGCACCTTCTTCGTTGAACAGTGTCACAGACTTATTCTCAAGACCCGTGCGGCACTAGCGCACTTCACCCAAACTATGCTAGTCAGCCTAACTTCTAAGGACACCGATTGTGGAGAAACGCATACAATGCTTTATTGCTCTCAAGAATTCGATGGTTCGATGGTTACAAATGAGCCAGCCATGAGGGGTATTTATACTTGTCCTTCCTCCTCAATGGACGGCTAAGATCTACTCGATTATCTAACGGCTACAATTCAATTCTATACAACTCTATATCATTCTAGAGTATTCTAATATACTCTATACAACTAATACAAATGTATCCTTATCTACATGAGTCTAGAATATTCTCTAAGCCTCCAGAAATCTGCCCCTTCCTCTTAGGCATCTCTAGACTCCAGCTTGTCCCTTGCCACAGTTATGCCGCGGCGTATCACTCTGCCATGCCGCGGCGTACTCGCTTACCATGTCGCGACGTACTTGCCTGCCATGCCGCGGCCTAAAGTGCCTATTATGCCACGACATACTGCGAAGTTAGGGAGAGTCGTCACATTCTCCCCCACTCAATCTCACGACGTCCTCGTCGTGGTCTTCTTGTAATCCTCTTCTCGGGACGACTCGACGGATACTCCCTTCTTTAAACTCCCCCACTCAATCTCACGACGTTTCGGATTTGGAGCGGACTGGAATCTGCTCACCCAAAGCAGTCACCCATCGTTCCATCCTTTTCCCATAGATGCTCGAGTTTCGTGTACTGTACAACCGGCTATACGAATTTCATCGTACGACTAGTGACAATTTCATAATTTTGG